TCGAGGAAGGCCCTCAGGAAAAGGCATTGTTGAATTCTCAGGGAAGCCAGCTGCTCGGAAAGCTCTGGACAGATGCAGTGAAGGCTCCTTTCTGCTAACCACGTGAGTGAAGGGTCATTTTCAGAAGTAGACCTTGGATTGCTACTTCCTTCTGTGGTCTGGGGAGTTAGCCTGTAGGAACCATGTTCTGTGTTCATTCAAAACTTTTTGATACTAATTCAGCTTTATAGTAGGGTTTTCAATGTAATCTTAAATTAATGGAAATGGTATGAGAATTAAGAAATAAACCTTTTTGGTCTTTTAATAGGTTGTCATTTAATCAGCATTAAATGTTGTATTTGAAGTTTTATAACTCTGAGAAGTTGTTTTGTGCGTGACGCATCTCTCTTAATATTTATCCCAAATTTTGGTCTGGAGTTCTGTAGATCCTGGGTATCAGGCTGCACTTAATAAGTACTCTCTCTGCCTAAGTTGAACATTTTTTTAAGGCTGTATTCGGAGATCTAAAGCCTAACTCCATCTTGTCAACCTCAGTCCTTATAGTGCCACTAAAAGAACTTGGTTACTTGGGTTGATTGTAAAAACCATTTAAGAAGTATGTTGAATTGTTCATTTGTAACCTCTTACTAGGTCACTTTGCCAGTGGCATATGTAGAGAGGTAGCCTAGTTACTGTAGGGTGTAATTTGATTAAACTGAACTTCCTTTTTCCTCCCAGATTTCCTCGGCCTGTGACTGTGGAGCCCATGGACCAGTTAGATGATGAAGAGGGACTTCCAGAAAAGCTGGTTATAAAGAACCAGCAATTTCACAAGTATGTGGTCCTGACAGATTCCCTGTTAGGTATTTGCCTAATCTTAAGGAAGCTTGTAAAGGGGTGTGTGAGAGAGGCAAGTCTTTGCTGTATGCATTTCCTGGCAGACATTATTCCTGGTCCGCAGGAGAAATGCAGTGCTTAGTTGGGGGGGAATCTTGGACAAAGTTGCAGTAACCCAGAAACCTTTGTCTGTAGGGAACGAGAACAGCCACCCAGATTTGCACAGCCTGGCTCCTTTGAGTATGAGTATGCCATGCGCTGGAAGGCACTCATTGAAATGGAGAAGCAGCAGCAGGACCAAGTGGATCGCAACATCAAGGAAGCGCGTGAGAAGCTGGAGATGGAGATGGAGGCTGCTCGCCATGAGCACCAGGTCATGCTCATGAGGCAGGGTGAGTATAGGCCTGTAAGTCTTAAGCCTAGAAGGTCAAAATAAATTTTTTCTCAGGAGTTTCTTTGTATTGATCAGTAGAGAAAGGCCTAAATCTCTACTTTTATTCTCTGAAATATTTTGTTGATCTTGGTAGGCAAATGAGCTTGGAGATGTGGCAGAGAATACTGGATTCTGTGGAGAAGGAAATAATAGGTTTGATTTCATTTTTGGAATCTGGATATCTCGGATGGCCACTCAGGGATTATATATCCCCTTTGCTTTCTGGATCTTTAATTATGGAAAATTCTTGGGCCTATCTGAGGGAATTGAAGAATACTCAGTCAGTCTGTTTTTCTAGATTTGAAGAATACTCAGTCAGTCTGTTTTTCTAGATTTGATGAGGCGCCAGGAAGAACTTCGGAGGATGGAAGAGCTGCACAACCAAGAAGTACAAAAACGAAAGCAACTGGAACTGAGGTGCCTCTTGAATGAACTCTTTCTGTCTGACAACTCTAAAAGGGAATGTCTCACTTTTGCTTCCGGCCACCTTGCTACTTCATGCATTTGCAAATATGCTGGGAAATATTTCCTGGCTGCCTCTCAAGTTCTCCCTTTGGACAGGAGGTGTTTCAGTTGCCTGTGGTTCGAGGAATATCTGGGGCTACACTGAAGAGAAAGCAGCTGAGTGCTGGTCTGAAGCTCCTTTGGGGAAAAAAGAAACAAACTTTTTTCCGTTAAGGACACATATCGGTTGCTTTAGGACTGGGCATATTTAATAGTGAGTTTCTGGGACAGCTACAATAGTTTTCATTAGGCTCTTGCTCTGCTTAGTTGTGCCCCCTAATAAGATAATCTACTCAAGTTCCAGAGTGCTTCTGCTTAAATCTCTCTTGCTGACTCTAGGCAGGAGGAGGAGCGCCGGCGCCGTGAGGAAGAGATGCGGCGGCAACAGGAAGAAATGATGCGGCGACAGCAGGAAGGATTCAAGGGAACCTTCCCTGATGCGGTATATCTCCCATGTGCCCATGATGTACCAGCCCAGTCATGATATGACAAATCCACCATGAATTGTCCACTAGGACTAGAAAACATACCAGGTTATGTTCAATGTTTCCATTCTATGAAAGTCCTTTTAGAAGAATTCATAGGAAGGAAAGGTAAGGTTTGAAGGGAAACAACTGCCTCATAGGCAATTTAGGATGAGGTGTTGGGGCCACTGTGTGCTGTATACACTCAGTACTTGCAGGGTGAGACATGCAGTCCTGTAACAGCTTTGACTTATCTTCTGATGTCCTCACAGTTGTTAATACAGGTTGGAGCCCTAGAAGAAAGCAACTCTTCCCCCTTTCCTTTCACCTCTCCTGTTCCTAATAGACTCTTGTGTTCAAATAGCTCTTGTAACTTGGGTCCTAGTAGCTCTGACCATGAATTTGGTGTACAACTAGCAAATTGCTGTTGGTGTTTCCTTAGTTTGGTCTTCGTGTACTTGGGATGTTATCACCCTGTTTACTCCCTTTAGTGTGTGGTCCTAACTGGTTGTGATAGAATGCAGTGCTGTCTTAGACTGTTGTGAGTATTTTTTGTTTTTCAGAGAGAGCAGGAGATACGGATGGGCCAGATGGCTATGGGAGGTAAGAATTTGAGTTTAATGGCTCTTATTTCCCTTTCTGTCTTGTCTCTGTTGAACTCCGAAGCATTGCCTACCTAGTCCAGATTTAAAGGGCTAACATTTTTGGGAGCATTGCTTTTCGGAGGGAGGGTGGGAACATGTCTTAACCCAGAGGTTTTGTTGAATTGTTTCCTTTGACACAGAGACTGACAATCTCTGTCTCCTGTATACTGATCACACTACTACTCTGCTGTAGGTGCTATGGGCATAAACAACAGAGGTGCCATGCCCCCTGCCCCTGTTCCAGCTGGTACTCCAGCTCCTCCAGGACCTGCCACTATGATGCCAGATGGAACCTTGGGACTGGTAATAAGCTACAGGACCCTACAGTAACTGTAAATGGTGATAGGAGGAGGAAGGACTTTGCCTTCACGGGGCCTGCCACGATTTTGCTATAGATAGCAGTCTTTAGGATTTCTGTTATCCATCAGATTTAACCTTGAGATCTTTATTTTTGGATCTTGAATAAACCTAGTTTCAGACTATACTTTATCTAGGAGTTAAGCCGATCTCTCTCTGGCTAGTCTAGTGTACAGTTTAGTTGCTACCCTGGGTGAACAGTTTCTTTTTTGGAAGGAAGGTAATGAAGGCTGCACATTAATTACATAAAATAAATGTGAATCCAGAAGGCTTTGTGGCTCATACAATCATACAATCTTGAGGTGGTTTTAGTTCTGGTGTCAGAATGTTAACTGGATAGGCTTAAGGTTGCCCTTGTCCACCATATACCTAGTTCAGGAAAAAGGACTTGACTAGAATTTATCCAGCCTAGGAATTTAGTATGTAATCCTGCATAGCCAACAGGAATGGGGATAAAAAGTTAGAGTACGTGATGGGGTGGGTCTGTAATCCCGGCAGCCTTCCTTTCAGGAATATCACTAGGGTGCTTCACAGGCTTAGTTACCCCTAGCATCAGGAACCTTGAATGGTTGGGTGGAAATGGACTTCAGGCAAGGGACTGGCTGTAGAAGGGTGGGAAACTTAGGACATCGGTATTATTGTAATGCTGCTCTTTTTTTCTCTAAGACCCCACCAACAACTGAACGTTTTGGCCAAGCTGCTACAATGGAAGGAATTGGGGCAATTGGTGGAACACCTCCTGCATTCAATCGTCCAGCTCCTGGAGCTGAATTTGCTCCAAACAAACGTCGCCGATACTAATAAAATCAGTCTAGTTTCCCAAAACCCTTAAAAGAAGGACCCTTTTTGGACTAGCCAGAATTCTGCCCTGGAAAAGTGTTAGGGATTCCTCCCATTAGTTAGGTCCTCCCTGCCTGTACTACTCTAGGGAGTATGCTGGGGGCAGAGGGCAAGGGAGGGGCAATATTTAACAAAATCAGTTTTCTGTGGTATATTGTTTAACTAATAGATTATGTGTGGTGGATTCCTGAAGTCATGTGATTGTTGGGGGGAGGACCATGGCAAAATGGATCCAATTAGAGCTCCCATTGATAATCATTCCATTCTTTGTCCACCCTGTTGTGTTTGCTTTCTCATTCTTAACACTTCCCAACCCCAGAGACACTGCCACATATACCACAAAAACCAAACATCCCCCAATGACCTTTGCCCCAGTGCTCCATTTACTCCCAGGTGGGAATTCAGGCAAATGTCCACAGAGGTCACAGACAACATACACAGTTCTGTTATGTCCCATATATTAGCCCTTTGTGCCCTAAGGAAGACATTTTCTCTTAGAGATTTTCTTTTTAGTATATCTTTAAAAATTCTCGTGTTAACTTGCCTCCATCTTTTTCTTGGGTAAGGACACCCCAGGAATGGCCCCTTTGTGTCTGATATTCACAGCTTTTCTTGATAGGCCTGTACAATCTTGGGAACAGGGTTGCTGTATGCTGAAGTTTGGACAGTAGCTCTTAGCCTTGCCTATCTTAGGTAGTTATGCTGTGCATTTTTTATTGGTGTACCATGTTTGATTTGTTCCTGATACCTTTGGAGTTTTCTGAGAAATGGAGCAGTAATGCAGCAACTTATTAAAATATGTTTTAAGCCTTTTAATTTTCTGTGATGTTTGTAAAGGGGAAGGGAGGGAGGGGAGTTCTGTCTCAGGAGATGAGTTCTAGTATAAGGATAATCCTTTATGACCCTTTGCTCAAAAGTATTACTCATCCATCTATAGGCAAATGTGGGGGTTGACAAAGATCAGTGCTGTTGGTACACAGAAGTAATGATGGGAGGAAAGCTGCTGCTTTGAAAGAAAATGGGCTGGAGGAATTGGGGTACCCTCAGTGAGCTGTGAAGGGTCCCAAAACGTATTCATTTCTGAGCAGCTGTTGGTATGTCAGGGGCCAGGAATTGTCATGGTAAATCTAAAATTGTCTCAGGCAGTTACCTGACCTCACTTAAGTGTGCTCTGCTCTGCCTGACTCTCTTCTTGAGCCTCCGAGCTAATGCTTTTGAGATCTTTCCTATTGGCTCAGTTGGGAAAACCAGTTGAAGTTCCCTTGTCCATGTTAGGAGGTACACGCCTCCTGAACTAAAGAGGGCTCTTCGAGGCAGCTAAAAGCCTCCGACTAAGAGGTGTTCCCCATTTGGCAGCCAGACTCTTTGAAATACTGTTTCAGTACTTTGTACCAACGACTCCATGTCTCGTCTCTGCCATAACAAAGGCTGTGGGCAGCACTTTGACCCTAATACCAACCATCCTGGTGAGTGAGTAATCCTGACCTTGCCAGGAGTTCCTATGAGTGCTAAAGGAGTGGTCTGCTGTAGGCAATCTGCCAAAGGAGCAGAGAAAAATTACAGTGTGCCTAGCCTGGTTTAGTCAGTGTAGGTGATCAATCGATCCTTACTGATGTTTTTTTTTACATTATATGAGGAAACTACAGCATATAAATCTGGGGATGAGGTAAGTGATATTTGGTGTTATCTTTATACTTTGATCCTTCTACCGGTATTCAGATTTCTGTTGCCATCACCCTGGGGTTCTGATCTTCCATGATGCACTTAAGGTGAGGAGTAAGCGAGGGGGTGGTGGCAAGAGCATTTCCCAAAGGAATTACACCCAGGAATCTAAGCTGACCTGGTTCTTTTGTTGTCAGGGTTGGTCCTGCTGCCTGAAGTGAACTGTAGATTTCTCTTGAGTTCTTAAACATCAAGGTTTTCTTGCTTGGATTCTGCTTATAACAAGGATTCTATCCCTAACCCTCTCCTTATCTGTACTAGGGCTGTACTGTGGGACCACACTGTGCTGAGAAGCTGCCTGAGGCCCCTCAGCCTGAGGGCCCTGCTGCAAGCAGTACACTTGAGGAGCAAAAACCTGTGAATACCATCCCAAAGTCAGCAGAGACTTTGTGCCAGGAGAGGCCCAAGTAAAGAGGAGGTCCCTGGGTTTCTACATTCATGGAGCTCCCTAGGATTGGTTAATGGGTTATGGAGGTTTGGGAACTAGGGACTAGAGATGGGAGGAGGGCCTGTTGTGTACTTTGCGCCTTAGGGGAAATTCATGTCCAGAAATAAAAGTCCTTTAAGGAGCTATGGGGTGATGGGATAGATATTTTGAGTCAACAAATAGCCCCTCACAAATACATTCTTAGTGATAATACAAGGGGGATTATTGAGAGTGACTTGATTTTTTTCCTTCTGGAAAAAAGCTTTCAAATGCATTTTACATCAAGAAAAGAATGTAGTAGTACTGGCAGCCAGGAAACTGTAGAGAAGTTAATTTGTGGAAATAGTATGAGCAATAGAAGAAAGTTATATTAGGTCCACAGTTAATTAGATGATGATGAAATGATACAGTTCTGCAGAGAAATGTAGTTAAGATTTAGAGCAACTGAGTAGATGGAGAAGAGAAGCCCGGGGAATTTCCCCAAGGTTCAGGGATTTAGGATATATCCATGGAGGAGAAAACCAGCAATGCAGTTGTTATTCAACTTCCCCAACCCTGCCCCACTTTGACCAGACTTCTTCGATTCCTCTACTGGTAACTGGTGGAAGTGTTGGAGCTGTTGGTCATGGGTAATGGGCCAACTGAGTCACCCTACCCATACCCCCTAGGTCAGAGTTGCCTCCAAAGCTGCTTCTGCTAAATATATCCCAAGCCCTGGAAATGGCATTGGAACAGAAGGAATTAGACCAGGAACCTGGAGCAGGTAAGTGGGCCCTTGGTAGGATAGGCTTTGCAGAGTAGACTTTAGTGCAAGTGGCAATCGGGTGGAGGAAATGGATAGGTTCCTGACTTATTTCCCCTTGCCCAGGACTTGACAATAGTCAGATCCGGACTGGTTCCAGTTGCCAAAACCCAGGATGTGATGCTATGAGTGAGAGTTTGTAGGGGATTCAAGCATGTGGCTGAGAGATGGTACACCTAAGGGATGACTGAGTCTGGGTATGAGGCTGAGTGGGGTACACTTTAGAATGACCTGATTCTTTTTCTGATTCTCCTTTATCCATCTTAGGTTTACCAAGGCCCCGAGAGTGATGGTACTCCATGCACCTACCACCCAGGAGCACTTTGATTCTATGAGGGGTGAGAGGGGGGACTGGGTGGGCTGTGAGACAGGATTCTCCCAATACTGGTCATAAGATGCAAGTGGGGGCTTATGGGGAAGGGAAAAGAGATTCAGTTGGATTATTGTCCTCCCTCAGGAAGAAGTCCTGTAGCTGTTGTGGCATCCAAACCCTGGATTTTGGAGCATTCCTGGCACAGCCAGGATGCTGAGTTGGTATACTTGACTGGGGGAAGCAGGTAAGCCCCACCTTTCCGGAACTCTTGATTTAAATCCAATTCCAGAAATAATTTCTCCTCCCTGTATGTCACGGCCAAGCTCTTTATCTTCTCTCTTTTGTATGGACCAAAGGAGGGATTCTGCTCCTTATTCCTCAGCAGCCCAGAGGTTTTGCATTAAGAGGTGACACCAGACAGTGTTGATCTTTCTGAGACTTTCTGTCTCTTCTCCACACACCATGAGAACTCCCCTTTGGTTAAGAGTTCACTCTTACCACCCACATTTCACATCTTCTCTTTAGTTGCCAGTGTCTTGCCAGCATGATTGGTACCAGACAGATTCCTCAGTAGTGGTGACTGTGTATGGCCAGATTCCACTTCCTGCACTCCACTGGGTGAAGGCCAGTCAAACTGAGGTGAGGAATGTCTGGCGCTGGATGGGAGGCTATGAATTAGGATTACACTCTTAGAGGCAGAGTTGCTGTATGCAGTTAAGATGTGAGATCCATAGGACCCTGAGAGGAAGGTGGAGTTATTAAGTCAGGACTATCTGGCTGACCTGTGGATGCAGGGATCACACCACTGGCCTGGTTCTTTGTCATAATGACTTGTTCTTACCTTCTCAGATTGTTACTACCCCTATAATTCTTCTCTCTCAGCTTCATGTCCACATTGTCTTTGATGGCAACTGTGTGTTCCAAGCACAGATGAAGCTCTGGTGGGTAAGTGAAGATAAGGCAGCCCAGGAGCGGGAGGCAGATGGGGGTAAAAAGTAGGGCCAGACTGGAATGAGTAGACAGTGTCTTGAGGGAAGGAGTTATAGTGGGAAAGTGGAGGTTTTCTCTCCATTTGCTTTGATACTCTCTTCCCATCTCCCTCCCTCTTTTTTCTCCCTTGCCTTCCCCACACCCTGTCCCTTTTATTTCCCCTCTCTCTCCCCCTTACCATATTGTCTTTTTCTTCCCCTTTTTCCCCCACCTTCCATTTTTTTGCTTTTCTCCCTGTCGTTCGTCACCACCCCACCATGACCCCAATTCCTTTGATTTCCTCATTTTTCTCTTCTGTGTTCCCGTCTTTCCTTCCCCTCAGGTCATAAATGTGGAGCAGAGCTCTGTCTCCTTGATGCCATCTCGGGTGGAAATCTCCTTGGTCAAGGCTGACCCAGGATCCTGGGCCCAGCTGGAGCACCCTGATGCACTAGCTGAGAAGGCTAAGGCAGGGCTTGGGTTAGAGATGGATGAGGAAGAATCTGAGGATTCAGATGATGATGTGAGCTGGACAGAGGAGGAGGAAGAGGAGGAAGTGATGGAGGAATAGTGACACCAGACAGTCAAGTGTCTAGGTAGGACCTCAGTGACTTTTTAAGAACCTCAGAGACCAAGATATGGTTGGCCATGTGGTGTCCTTGAGTAGCAGGAGGCCAAAGGAGGGGAGAACAAAAGAGTCCAAGCCACGCTGATTTTTCCCTTAAATAAACCTTGTGCTCTTCAGTTTCACATGGTGTCATTCTGTCACCTTACTATCTGGGATTGTATCCTTTCCTCCAGCTTCTGTGTGCATTCCGCGCACATGTGTGAAAACAAGCATATGCACATTCAATCTAGTCTTTATAGCCACCAGGGATATACTGAGTACTTACTGTGTGCCCAGTTATGTGTTAGGTGCCTTAGAGGTTTCTGACACACAGGAGACTTACTCCTTCCTTATAGGAAAACTACAGTCTGGCTGACATGTCAAGATTAACGTACATGAAATAAAAATAAACATTATCAGGTAGTTTGAGTGTTAAAATTGTACAGTACAGTTGACCCTTGAGCAACACAGGTTTGAACCTCCTGGGTCCACTTACATGGACGCAATATATTTTCAATAAATATAGTGGAAAATTTTCTGGAGCTCTCCAACAATTTGAAACAATACTTTCTTTAGCTTACCTTACTGTAAGAATACAGTATATAATACATATAACATAAAATATGTGGTAAGGCTTTGGCTCAGCAGTAGGCTATTAGTAGTTTAGCTCTTAGTAGTTAAATAAAAAGGGATAGTCAGAAGTTATATGTGGATTTTTTAATGCATGGGGAGGTCAGTGCCCCTAATCCCTATATTGTTCAAGAGTCAGTTATATAGTTTTTTTTTTTAAATTATTTTTTATTGAAGGGTAGTTGACACACAGTATTACATTAGTTTCAGGTGTACAACACAGTGATTCAACATTTATATACATGATAATTCTAGCTACCAGCTATCACCATACAAAGTTGTTACAATATTTTTTTTTAATTAAAAATTAAAAATTTATTTTCAATGTGGTAAAACATACATAATATAAAATTTCCCTTTTTTGTTTTTGAGAGGGCATCTCATATTTATTGATCAAATGGTTGTTAACAACAATAAAATTCAGTATAGGGGGGTCAATGCTCAATGTACAATCATTAATCCATCTCAAGCCTAATTCTCATCAGTCTCCAATCTTCTGAAGCATAACGAACAAGTTCTTACATGGTGAACGAATTCTTACATAGTGAATAAATTGTTACATGGTGAACAGTACAAGGGCAGTCATCACAGAAACTTTCGGTTTTGATCATGCAATATGACCTATAAACAATCAGGTCAAATATGAATATTCGTTTGATTTTTGTACTTGATTTATATGTTGATCCCACATTTCTCCTATTATTATTATTATTTTTATTTTTAATAAAATGCTGAAGTGGTAGGTAGATGCAAGATAAAGGTAGAAAACATAGTTTAGTGCTGTAAGAAGGCAAATGTAGATGATCAGATGATCAGGTGTGTGCCTATGGACTAAGTATTAATCCAGGCTAGACAAGGGCAGCAAGACATCCACGGATGCAGAAGATTTCTCTCAAAGCAGGGGGGGTGAGGTTCTGAGCCTCACCTCTGTTGATCCCCAAATTCTCACCTGATGGCCCCCCTGCGACTGTGCCTGTCTTAGGTTGTTCCTCCCTTGAGGAATCTTACCCGTCTCTGGCTAACCAGTCATCTTCCGGGGCCATACAGGGAAATGTAAAGTTGGTAAGTGAGAGAGAAGCCATATTGTTTGCAAAGGTTAGCTTTTTACTTCTTTGCAGATTTATGCCCTGTGGCTTCTATGCCCAGCACTTGTCTCGAGGTATCTTTACCACCTGGAGGAATTATGATACTCGGTAAATTCGATATGAGGCACGAATTCTATTTAAGGGTTGTAATTAGGAAGGAAGAAGAAAAGCTATAGATGTAGCATATGAAGGAAACTTGGGAGGATTGATTATTTCTTTGACATATCTTCTTGTATAGTACCTTAAGTATGTATAGGTTTTAAACTACTAACTAATTTGCACACACATATTAACATAATAGGAATACGGTGACATAAACAAAGCAAATCTATAATTACCAGCCATCTCCAGTGAAGCCAAGAAAACCATTTAGGCACCCTAGGCATTTGTGAAAATTTATCTATGATATGATGGATATTGTCCAACTGTACTTGAACCATCAGACAAATTAAAGCAGCCCATTTCTGGGATCTGTTCACATCCCATATGTTCTTTTAACCATAGATAGTCTATAGTCATGAGATTTTGGGGTGCTACAACTTGCACCCCTCCCAACTCCTGGTTGAGTTCCAACAGTACAGATCCAGTCAAATTCGTTGTCTCACTGTATGCACATGCCAGCCTAGACATCTCCCTCCTCCTTCTTATGGCAAGTCCAGGAGACGGTGGGCTGGATGCAGCCACAACCGCAGCATCGTCCGGATCCCTGTGGAGGCTTTTTGATGATCATCCCCCGGCACGAGTCCTCCAGAGAGTGCTGATGCCGGAAGCTCCTCCTCATATCGTATCTTAGTTCATTTTCTGGGTATCCAAGCTAGGCCTTGATCTTCTGCGTAGAAACAAACAGACCCTTTGCCCACACTTTGACATGCCCTCTATACCACTGTGCAGAACTCATTGGAGGTCAGCACACAGTAACTGCTTTTTTTTTTTTTTTTTAATTAAGAGAAAGGAATATTATCAGAAAAGAGTACCTCCATAGCTGATCATCTGACACCCTTTAAGTGATCAACATTAAGGATATTTAAAGCATGCGTTGATCTTTGATTTACCAATAGTTTTATCCTGTTAAGGAGTAATCCCCCTTTTCTTTCTTTCTTTCTTTTTTTTTTTTAAATTTTTAATCTACACTTACCTGAAGAATACTATGTTTACTATGCTCTCCCCTATATCAGGTCCCCCCTAACAACCACATTACGGTTACTGTCCATCAGCTTAGCAAAATGTGGTAGAGTCACTACTTGTCCTCTCTGTGTTGTGCAGCCCACCCTCCCCTTTCTCCCTCCCCCCCATGCATGCTAATCTTAATACCCCCCTTCTTCTTCCCCCCCCTTATCCCTCCCTGCCCACCCATCCTCCCCAGTTCCTTTCCCTTTGGTACCTGTTAGTCCATTTTTGGGTTCTGTAATTCAGTTATATAGTTTTTAAGAGCTGTAGGAGTTGAGTGAATGGAGAGACTGATGTGGACCATAGTGGAAAGGGAAGGCTCCATGGAAGAAGTACTGCATCTTTTTACAGCTTTATTGAGGTACAGTGCACCCATTTGAAGCTGTAAAATTCAGTGATTTTTTTTTAGTATACTCAGAACAGTGCAACCACAATCCATTTTAGAATATTTTCATCACTCCATAGAGAAGTCCTGTGTCCATCAGCAGTCCCTTCAAATTTCCCCCCAAACTCATAGCCTTAGGCAACCACTAATCTACTTTCTGCCTCTATGGCTTTACCTATTCTGGGTATTTCATATGAATGGAATCATACAACATGGTCTTTTGTGACAGGCTTCTTCCACTTAGCATAATGTTTTCAAGGTTCATCCATGTTGTAACATAAGTACTTCGTTTCATTTTATGGCTGAATAAAATTCTACCATGTGTATCACCCACATTTTGTTCCTCTTTCCATCAGTTCAGGTACATTTGGGTTGTTTCTACATTTTGGCTATTACGAGTAATGCTCCTAAAGAATATTCATGTACAAGATTTTATGTGAACATAACATTTTGATTTCTTGGATATATGGGAGCATAATTTCTGGGTCAAATGGTAACTTTAACGTTTTGAGGAAATGCCAGACTGTTTTCCAAGGAGGCTGCACCATTTTACACTCCCACCAGCAGTGTAAGAGGGTTCCATTTTCTCCACAATCTTGCTAACGCATGTTATTTGTCTTTTTCATTATAGCCATCCTAGTGGGTGTGAAGTAGAATCTAATTGTGGTTTTAATATGCATTTCCTTCTGTAATGGCTGATGACTGGTGAGCATCTTTAAATATGCTTATTGGCCATTTGTGTATCTTATTTGCCCATTTGTTAACTGAGTCATTAATGTTTTAGTTATTAGCTTTTTTTTAAATTTATTTTTTATTTTGGTATCATTAATCTACAATTACATGAAGAACATTATGTTTCCTAGGCTTCCCCCTTCACCAAGTCCCCCCACATACCCCTTCACAGTCACTGTCCATCTGCGTAGTAAGATGCTGTAAAATCACTGCTTGTCTTCTCTGTGTTGCACAGCCCTACCCGTGCCCCCCATGCACTATACATGCTAATCGTAATGCCCTCTTTCTTTTTCCCCACCCTTATCCCTCCCTTCCCACCCATCGTGCCCAGTCCCTTTCCCTTTGGTAACTATTAGTCCATTCTTGGGTTCTGTGATTCTGCTGCTGTTTTGTTCCTTCAGTTTTCCTTTGTTCTTATACTCCACA